ACACGCATAATCACATATACACACTAACATGTGTATATATATACACACACACACATGCAAAAACACACACTCACACATGACACTGACACGCATAATCACATATACAAACTAACATACACACACACGCACACACTTTTACACATGATCACATATACACACATACTCGCTAATACACACACAAACACACACTCACATATACACACACACACAGACACAAACACACACTTTTACACATAATTACATATACACATACTCGCTAATACAAACACACACTCACACATAACACTGACACACATAATCATACACACACACACACACACACACACACACACACACACACACACACACACTCCAGTGAGGTCTCAATTGAACACAAAGGTCATTTGCATGTTTATTACACATTTTATTGTAAATCTGCTGGGCTCAGCATGCGCTCCAGAAAGCAGCATCAGTGATACACACACACACGCACGCATACACACGACCCGCATGTTTAAGTCAGGAGTGTGTATTGATGAGGCAGGGATGTGTTCTCAGGCGTCAGCGAGTTTCCGCGCACGTTCACACGCTCCAGCGCCGGCATCAGGGACAGCTTCTGCATTGGCAACTCTGGACACACACACACACACACAATGTGTGAACACAGACTGCAGTCGTGTGCGCAATAATGGGGTTTATTGTGCTGGGCAAATTTCTATCCCAATTAATCACATCCAAAATAAAAGTTTGTTTTGACAGTAATGTGTGTGTGTGTGTGTGTGTGTGTGTGTGTGTGTGTGTGTGTTTATATATATATATATATACTGTAAATACACATGCATGCATATTCTGGAGACAATGTTGATTAATATTCAGATCTAATTTGAATATGAACATGATGCTGATTAGTTAGAAATGTCATTAACTACATAGCAAAATAGTTTTGTATGGGGTGTGTGTGCATGCATGTGCGTGCGCTTGTGAATGTGTGTGCGCGTTTGTGCGTATGTGCATACACGTGTGCACATGTGTGGTTGTGTGCATGCATGGGTGTGTGTGTGTACTTGCGTGTGTGTCTGTGTGTGTGCGCATTTATGTGCATGGTCATGTGCGGTTGTGTGTGTTCTTGCGTGTCCATGCAGTGCATGCGTGTGTGTCTGTGCGCATTTATGTGCACGTTTGTGTGGTTGTGTGTGTGCATGTGTCGGCATGTGTGTCCATGCATGTGCGTCCGCTTGTGTCTGTGTGTGCACGCTTATGTGCGTGTGCGTATGTGCATACACGTGTGTGCATGTGTAATTGTGTGCATGCATGCGTGTGTGTGTACTTGCGTGCGTGTCTGTGTGTGTGCGCATTTATGTGCATGGTCATGTGCGGTTGTGTGTGTTCTTGCGTGTCCATGCAGTGCATACATGTGTGTCTGTGTGTGTGCGTATTTATGTGCACGTTTGTGTGGTTGTGTGTGTGTGTGCATGCATGTGTGCATGTGCGGGCGTGTGTCCATGCATGTGCGTCCGCTTGTGCCTGTGTGCGTGCGCTTATGTGCGTATGCGTATGTGCATACACGTGTGCTTGTCTGGTTGTGTGCATGCATGTGTGTGTCTGTGTGTGTGCGCATTTATGTGCGCGTTTGTGTGCGTGGTCATGTGGTGTATCCATGCATGTGTGTGTTTGTGTGTGTATGTGCGTGCGTCTGTGCAGGCGTGTGTGTCCATGCATGTGCATCCACTTGTACCTGTGTGTACGCGTTTATGTGTGTATGTGCACACTCATGTGAGCATGTGTGGTTGTGTGTACTTGCGTGTCCATGCAATGCATGCATGTGTGTCTGTGTGTGTACACATTTATGTGCGCAGTCATGTGCAGTTGTGTGTGTGTGCATGCATGTGTGTGTTCGTGTGTGTGCGCGTTTATGTGCATGGTCATGTGGTGTATCCATGC